CCCCCCCCCAACCTCAGCAGTCCCTGGCCACAGACCTGGAGGAGGCGGAGGAGCAGCACGCCCAGGCCCTGCGCAGCCACCTGCACAACATCGACCGCCTGCTGCAGCTCCAGCGCTGCCGCCTGACGTGCCTGGAGGAGGGGTACGGCGCCCAGCTGGAGGCCCTGAAGACGGAGTTTGAGGCTGAGAGGTACGGAGGGGGAGAGGGACAGCAGTGGCACCCGCTGGCTGTCCTGTCCTGGTGCTGAGCCCTCTCACGGCCCGGCTGGGACCGCCGTGGCTTCCCTCTATCAGCAGCTCCCCCGTGGTTTCCCCAGGAGGACCATCCTTGAGCAGCACGAGCGAGAAAGCTGCTACCTGCGGGACGTGGTGCTGGCCGCGGAGCAGAATTATGCCAAGAATGACCACGAGGCCACGCTGAATTTCCAGAGCGCCCGGGATGACATCAAAAACAAGGCACGGGGAGGAACCGGCAAGGAGTCTTTTAGGGCTTGCGAGCAGAGCAACCGGCGAGGTTTGGGAGGTGCTGGGTCACCGACACCCACGTCCGTCCTCAGAGCCTGCAGGAGAAGCAGTACAGCCGCATGCAGCTGGGCGGGAAGGCGGAGGTGCTCTGGGAGCAGTTCCAGCGGGCCGTGCAGAGCTACGCAGAGGCCACCGAGCACCAGAAGATCGCTTTTGAGGCGCTGAAGCAGAAGGACGAGAAGAGCTCTAGGGAGATAGAGATGCAGGCGAAGAAGCTGCAAAAGCTCCAGGTTGCGGCGGGGCGCAGGGGCGGCCGTGGGAACGGAGACGCCCTCGTCCCGCTGCTCACGTTTCGCCTGTCCCCAGGACTCAGTCACAGCCACCAAGGGCCGGATCGCGGCTCACCTCCGGGAGAGCGAGGAGCAGAACCGGCGCGCGCGGGAGGAGAAGCAAAGAGTCCTCAGGCAGCTCCAGGAGCTCAAGAGCGAGATGAACCAGGCCGGGGCGAAGGCCCACGGCAGCCTGGCCAGGCTCACCGCGCAGAGCAGCGCTGCCCTGAAGGCGCTGGCGCGGGTGGTGGAGAAGGTGAGGCCGGCAGCCCGTGGGCAAGGCCAGCACCGGGCAGGGGAGGGGGGTGCCACCGTCCCCTCCCGCCCTGCCCTCACTCTCACCCCCCCCCAGGCCCAGCGCATCCTGCGGCTGGCTGAGATGTGCCGCAGGCTGGAGACGGAGGAGGAGAAGGTGCTGCCCTTCTACCCTTCCTCGCTGGCGGAGGGGGAGCAGCGAGACGCCCGGCAAGTCCTCGAGGAGACGCCCGCGGAGCCCCTGGCCTGGGTGAGGAGGCAGCGCCGGGGTCCCAGACGCTGCCGTGGGGGGGCGAGGGATGGGATCCAGCCTCGGGGACGGCCCGGCTCGCACGCAGGCTGGGGACCCCCTGCCCTCCTCCCTGCCTCTCGCTCAGGCCATGCGGGACTACGTGGGGCTGGAGCGCTTCTGGCAGCGGTTCAACAAGGCGAAGCTGGAGGAGCAGGCGCTGGAGCGGGAGCGGGCGGCCCTGAGCCAGAGGAACCGGCGCCTGCGGGAGCTGCTCAGGCAGTACCTGGCGGGGATCTCCGTCAGCCAGGAGGTGCTCGGCGAACCCAACTCGCTCCTCGCCGTCGAGCGCAAGAGCTGCGTCCCCAGGGACTTGCCCCGTGCCGGCCGTGCACAAGGTCATCAGGGCGTCACACACCCTGACAGCCTCTTGGGAGGGGACGCCCGCCTGGACCCCATCCACGGCTCTGCCGGCACCGGCTGAGTATCGCCGTGTGGATTGGGGCATCCAGCCTGGCACTCGGGGACACCGCAGAGACCGTGACTGCCTGGAAGTGCCATAAAAAGAGCTAAACTGTGCCCAAAAATGTGCTCCAGGGTCTTATTTCTGGTCACGCTGAGCTTCATCAGGGCGGGCGGGGGGTCTGTCGCCTCCCGCTCAGGTCTGACACGTCAGCTCCTCGGCTGCACCAAATCCCTGCTGCCGGAGTGGGCAGGGAGCACAGGCGGGGGTGCACAGCCCCTTCCCGCCCC